CTGCGGAGGCAGCAGGGGGCCCCCACCCCGAAGGAGATAAAGGCTCCTTTGGGAAATGGAGGGGGAGACCCAGAAGTGGGGACCGGGCCAGGGGCCTGACGCAGAAGCAAAGGGCTTGTCTGCCCAGCCCTTGGAATTATTACAGGGTGAAACTCGCACCTGGGCAGTGGGCCAGGAGGACAGGACAATGCCAGGATGGGGAGGGATGGCAGCAGGGGGCCCCCACCCCGAAGGAGATAAAGGCTCCTTTGGGAAATGGAGGGGGAGACCCAGAAGTGGGGACCGGGCCAGGGGCCTGACGCAGAAGCAAAGGGCTTGTCTGCCCAGCCCTTGGAATTATTACAGGGTGAAACTCGCACCTGGGCAGTGGGCCAGGAGGACAGGACAATGCCAGGATGGGGAGGGATGGTCATGCAGCCCAGATACTCCGGTGAGGGGCACCAGACTGGGAGCCCATCTAACTAGAATTCTTCCCCTCCTTGGGATACCTAGGGGGCATTGCTCCTTCCTCTCCTCCCTGGATGACCCTTCCTTCCCCCAGCTAGGAAGAAAAGCCAGGAGTCCCCCTTACCAGTGCCTGTCCTCAGCTCTGAACACGCCCCCCCCAACACGGAAGCAAACTGCGCCGCTGATTCCAACCCTGCGGGCCCCACGGCTCCCTGACGAATTTTACGAACTTCAGCTCCGCACAGGGATGCCTCCCACCACTGGAAATGCGGCCACCTCTGCGGCCAAGTGCCCTAACCACCTAACAACTGGCAGCCACCGGGTAATGGGGCAGTGACGAATTTCACAGACAGCTGCAGCGACCCCAGGGTGGGGGTCTCCCTGTCCGTACCCGGCCTGGGCCTGGGGAGCGAACGATCCGACCGGCAGGCCAAATTTGGTGCTCAATACTGATTCCGTGCCTCCTCGGGCATATTGGGCATAAGGATGGAGCATTCAGGAGCAGTTTCAAATCTCGTCTCAAAGGCAGCGCCCACTAGCAGAACCCCGTGCAGACACATTTATAGAGCAACAAGAATGATGAAAGGTCTAGAGAACATGACCTATCAAAAAAGACAGAAAGAACTGGGTTTGTTTAGTTTGGAAAAGAGAAGACTGAGAGGGGACATGAGAGCAGTTTTCAGGAATCTAAAAGGGTGTCAGATGGAGGAGGGAGAAAACAGGTTTAGGTTGGACATTAGGAAAAAGTTCCTACCTGTCAGGGTGGTGAAACACAGGAATAAATTGCCCAGGGAGGTTGTGGAATCTCCATCTCTGGAGAGATTTAAGAGTAGGTTAGATAAATGTCTATCGGGGATGGTCACAGTATGAGGGCAGGGGACTGGACTCGATGACCTTCCAGTCCTAGTATTCTTTGATTCTATCCACGTCCGATCTGCAAACACAGCCAATAGATATAAAGCAGATACCCACAGATTTGCTGGGATCTATCCAGAAGCGCCGGGGCACACTGTATCAAGCCAGGGTACCCCCACATCTTGAATCCTGCAGACAGATGTGGTCACCTCATCTCAAAAAAAGATACATTGGCCTTGGAAAAAGTTCAGAAAAGGGCAACAAAAAAGATGAGGGGTTTGGAACGGCTGCCGTAAGAGGAGAGATTAAACAGACGGGGGCTTTTCAGCTCAGAAAAGAGGAGACTAAGGTGGGAAGGATATGATAGAGGTGTATAAGGCTATGTGAACACAGCAGAGCTGTTTCAGGATACCTCCGGTCTCCCGAAATAGCTATCTTCCCAGCAAGCCCGTTATTTCGAAATGTCATGGGCTCGCTATTCTGACGTCCCTGTAAATCTCATTCCACGAGGAGTGAGGGATGTTTGGGAACAGTGGGTTATTTCGAAATTTGGCACTGTGTAGACTGCACCAAATTACGAAATAAGCTCTTTTGAAATAAGATGCGTAATTTGCATAGGGCACATTGTGTAGCTTATTTCGAGGTAAGGCTGCTGTGTAGACACACCCTAAAATAATGACAGGTATGGAGAAAGTGAATAAGGAAAAGTTATTGACTTGTTCCCATAACATAAGAATGAGGGGTCATTACATGAAATGAATAGGGAGCAGGTTTAAAACAAACCTGTGGCGGCGCCTTGGGGTTTTCCCGTCTCCTGCACCCCCATAGTGGCACAGACAGACTCCACCAGCCAGTAGAACCG